CAAGTTAATGTCTTGCCCTTGGTATCTTAACCTCTTGCAGCTGCACAAAATTGCAGCCCAGTCTGCTCATATGGTGCATGCTGGGTGTCGGATTTGTGCCATAGAAATCAGTGGAGGGTTCGCTAACACCAGCATCTTCTCTCTGCTGGCGTTTGGTAGTAGACCTCTGCACAAGAAAACTGTTTCCCACTGGAGAAATTTCCATCTAGCCAAAAGTAGTGATTTTTTGCCCAGTGGCCATTTTTTCAAAGAAAAAATAAAAACATCTTTAGTCAGTTTTGAGATTAAAATCAGACCTGACGAAAATTTATGTAACTAAGGCTACCACCTTTCTTTTATATAACTATTTGATCTATATCCTAATAAACAATTAGTAAAATATTTTTATCAGTATATGACATTAAATTAATTCTTCAGCTTGTCTGGCCAGTGTATGTATAAAAGTCCATTGGTTTGTTTACTTTTTTTCCTTTCTCTAATTTGTTTTTTGCTTAAAAACCGAGCTTTGTACTTTGATATTTGGTTCTCTGTATCAAGGATGCTGATCACAATTCTGTCTATTTATTTCCAGCTCGACATTGTCCAGCAGAATTACGTCTCTCCAGACAATCTGCAGCGCCCCCTGGTGCACACAGAGCTGGAGAAAGCTGCATTTGACGATGGGGGGGACTGGCTGGCCACGGTCCAGAGGAGAGAAGACGGAGAGACGGCTGAGGAGATCGTTTTGAAGTTTTGGCAGTTTATGAAGGAGTCCCAGATGTGAGTTTGATTTTTTCATCTCACCTTTGCGCTGATATTCAACTTAAAGGGTTACCCAGCTGAGCAGCTGGTTGTGGTAAAACTTGGCCAAGCCTTGACTGCTTTGGTGGATAGCTTAAATTCTATAAAATTTTATGGCTCTGTACAGAAGTTATCATAATCTATCTATCTCAGCCGAGATTTTCGCTGAGGCACAGTCAGTGTAATCTGCACCCGTTGCAGAGCAACATGAACAACATCATGGACCACAAACTTTTCCCAACTTTACTCAAGTAATTGAAGTTTTGAGGGGGTGTGCCAGACAGTTAAGCTGATTACATTGACTGCTCCATAACAAGAATCCCCACTGAGGTAGATCAATCCTGCTAACACAGTAATTTCCATTCTGAACACAGCCTATCACATGTCAGGGTTATTTTGATGCTGTGGATTCCTCTGATATGACCTTGATGACCCCAGTAACCAGGCTGTGTCTCCTGACCTTTGTTTCCACAATAATGATGCATCCTCATTTAATTTGTTATAGATGATGCCAATATCTGCATTTTTCAAATTTTTTTAAGTAACAGATGTTTCAAAGACATTAAAATAATTATTAAAAAGGGAATTCTCTTAAACGTTCTGTAATTATCATCAGGTTTGTTCTGAACACCACAGTTGACCTTCCTCACTCAGACGTCATCCATACTCTTAAGTTCCGTTCCCATGGCAACGGGTCTAGGACGCCTCTGTGTCTTACCACTAGCAGGGATGGGAAGTTTAAGATTTGGACTTTGGTGGAAGACAGTGATATTTATAGTGAGTAAACCTTGCTGTGTAAACTTACAATGGTTAGAAAATGTGAGTCTGTGTTCAGTAACATTTAAGTTATTATTATGTCATTTTGTGTTTCTTTGTCAAAGTGTGTGGATATTGAAAGATAAGTTTAAATGTGGAAACCTCATCAGATTTTTTTATCCTTTTTACTCACAGAGTGAAAATCTTACTATTTTATTTTGAAATTAAGCAAGAAAAATTAGATATTGCCAAAAATGTTGTTCAATCAAAATATGGTGAAGATAATCTGTAATCTATATCTCAGGGACGAGCAGTTGTTGGAATTGTGAGTCAGTGGGTTACTACAAGGAGCAACCGGCCTGTGCTGCCGACTTCTCCGAGGACGGCTCCCTCCTTGCCGTGGGATTTGGTCACACCCTGACACTGTGGGACCCGGACACGAATGCCTTGAAGACCACGCTTACTTGTGGCGATGAGGGGGATGAGATAAAGTAAGTATCTGTAGAATATGGTTGATGAAAATGGTCTTGGGATAACCAATTCCAGAAGAAGAGCGGAAGACATATAGATTGTTTACAGTATGTTGCTGTGATGAAAGCTAGCTTCTGTGGTTTCGCAAAGTCTGAGATGACCTTGATGACCCCAAGCTCCTTGGCTGTGATTCTGAGCAACTCCTTTTTGTTTCTAAATCTTATTTTCAGTTTCTCATTCTGTGTAAAATGAAAATTGGTTAGAAAAGATAAAGTTGGGTTGACATCAACTAAAACTACCAGTTACAGAAAACAATACATCAACCATAGAATTATAGTTTTTCATCAGACATTGAATGACCCCATTCCTTCTGTTTTTATTTGCAGACACATTGCCTTTGGCAGGCAACTTTGCTGCCATCTATTGGTTTGTACAACAAACAACAAGCTGTTAGTTTGGAATCTGTTGAGTTGCTCACTGTTGTGGAGCGTGGGGTTGAAGGCCGAGGTGCTGGTGGCAGATCCGTTGTCGGAGCACATGGCTGTGGTCAGTGACGGTCAGGACAGCAGTGCAGGCTGGGAGTGTGAGTATTTACTGGTCAACTGAACGAGCTTTAAGTGTGTATTGAGTATTTTTATAAACTTTGAAAGCTCATGAGATCAATTTTCCTTTGAATTTTTTTATCAGTTCATGTATAAACTTTGACCAGGGATGGACTGCATGAATTTTTTTATCAGTTTATGTGTAAACTTTGACCAGGGATGGACTACATGAAATATAAATCGGCGTGAACTGAGAATGTGCAACATTTATGTGCTTGTTGTTTCTTCATGTTTTTCTTTCTGTTGTATTTCAGTATATGTCTTCAAGCCATCAGATGCCCAACCATTATATCACCATGGCAACTTGACCTCTTCTGCTGTGATTGGTGGAATCTTCATACCTAATGAACATAAAAAGGATCAAAGAAACCTTGAATTAAATGAAGAACTATCTTGGCAGAGAGAATCAAAGTTGTATATTTTCAATAGAAAACAAGAACTATTATCTATAGAAACTGAGAGTGATGAAAAAGCTGACATAACAAAGGAACAATCACAAGTACATCAAAGTGTACCACAAACTCCATTCAGTCTTCTTTTGAGTAGAAACCGTAAGAGGGCAGCACTGTCTAGCACAGCTCTTCCACTGGAAGCCAGGAGGAGCCAGGGTGGAGCTGAGGGTTTACAGGAGGTACGTTACCCAAATAGTTTGTAATGAAAGCAATAGAAGAGCGAGTTTGTTAGTCTGTTAAGTTACAGCAGGTTTCTGAATATTACACCAAGTTGAAATATATTTCCTGCTGGTGATGTCATTGCTTATGTACTTGTGTAAGTGACCCATCAGTGATGTGCTAGTCCTCCTGACATGGATGTTGTCTCCATACTAACAGTTAAAATTGGTCCGGTTAGTGCTAATTATTCAAAACTGAAGTATTTATACTGGCCTTTGCCAAAGTGAAACTAAGAAACACTTTTATAATCTAAAAATATGATTATGTAAATACAGAAAATTTCTGTGACTCTGTCCCATGTAACCATAATGATAATATATTTCTGTTGTATGTGTTCAGCTGCTTAGGACCCCAGCACATGTGCTGCCCCCTGTGAACTCTCTATGTGGTACATTCATCAAGACATTACTGCTGGGAAAGGGGAAGAAAACCAGGTGAGATGAGGTCATTGAATGAAGATGAAGCTGTCATTTTTCTTCAATCAGTAGCTTGTATTTGTTTCCATCTTTGTTTACTGCTAATATTTGATGTGTAAAAAGAGCATCTCCATTATCCTTGTTTAAAGACAGATTTAAATCATTTCTAAAGAGGCTAAAACGGTGTTTAATTTGCCTGTGAGGCATGGTGTTAAGAATCTTCACCATAGTGGCCTCTTCACATAACTGACTAGTGGAATTAAAGTTTTTCCTATAGGATGAGGTCTCACAGCCAAGTTGATATGCAGATATATAGCTGCAAGATACAAGTTTTGATTTTACTTCTATACAGCCCACGATAAGTGTTAATGTTAACCTCCAAAGAGGAGTGTTGTGGTATCTGTGCAAGATAATCCTTATAACACTGTTTTGACAAGTGGTTTTATATCAAGTATGTTGGTAAGTGCATTTTGAGAAGATGTACTTTAGGGTGCGTGCACACAGGGATACATTTCTACACTGCGTTTGTAGGATAAAGAATCTGTTTTAAAGCTTTACTTCTTTCAAATTTTCAGAGTGCAAGAGGAGGATGACAGTGATTCTGATGACCAGTCAGGTGACATTTCAGACCAATCAGAATCTGACTCTGAAAGTGCCATGGATGTGTCAGAACAAACCAATGAAATGTTTGTACACAAAACACGATCTCAGGACAAAATGGAAAGTGCAGACTCAGAAAAAATATGGAGGACTGAAGAAGTCATTGATGAAAACATATTGGAGAAATTGTCTGGAGAAAAGGTTCATTGGGTTTCTAATTTATTTAACAAATAAATTATTCTGGAAATGAAGGAATGAAGGCTCTCGATTTCCTTTAGAATTATTTAAAATAAAGCAACAAAGAAAGCTTCAAGGTCATTTGATAGACAGTGGAAGTGCTGGATGACTGCACCTTTTTTTATCTGAATTTCAAAATAAAATTGTTTTGTCAAAAACATGAAGAATAAAAATTACAAGACAGATGGGTTTTTTCTGTTTCAGTGGTTGTATTTTGCTTTCTGAAATGTAACGGAGCTGCTATTTGATTCAAGTAAGCCATGTTGAGATCTGTTTTTAGTGTTTTTGAAAGTTTTACAAACATCACGGGAATATTGTATTTTCTTGTGAGGACATGTAAGTTGATATTTATCAAGAGACAAGCTTGCAGTTGGGGACTGGCCAAGTGGTTCCTAAAAGCTTTCTTTTCTTTTATATTCTGACCTTGGCTGCAACCTTAATCTTTTTCAAGAAACAAGTCTTTTTTATTTAGTACAATATACTTTATTATTGCAACTTTTATTAATAAGCAATGTAACAAATTTTACTGAAAAGCAAGGAACACTTGGAAGTTGCCCAAGGTGAGAGAATGTTAGAGAAGAAATTGTGATATGCCTTAATCTAATGGACAGAATTTACATCACAATTATGATTGAACATCTTCCTGACATTGAATACAAGATTATCCATGTGCATGAGGAAGTAGAGTTCAATATTTGAAAGCACACTACACTGTCTAAAAAAATTTATCTCTTGGTTGAATGATCAAGATCTAATCCGTGTCAAAGTTGTGTAAAATAACTTCCATTTTCCTCCCTCCAGTAGCAGAAATGGAATAATCTTTGTAATAAAACAACACTATGAAATTAGAAAAATATCAGATAGCATGTTCCCTCTTTATCACAATGATCATTTGACATACCATGACTTGATTACAATATTTACTTATCACGATGATCTGAGACTTTCTCTCAACATGCAATCTAAACCACTATCATTAAAATATTGTAAAACAAATGGCTCTAAATTACAAAGAGAGCCGTTAAAACTTAACGATAAAAACTCATTTTCTCAATTCCATGCAAGTAACAAGTCCTATCTACTGTCCACAATTGAAAATCACTGCACAAACTCGATCAAACTATTGCTCTACTGTCTCCTGTCTCAGTCAGGGCCTTTGGTTAAACTGTTCATTCCAAAAATACTATGGGAACTAAAATTCCATCATCACATTCTTAACACATAAAGAATGTTCTGTATAAATACGTAACAATACTAATACTAGGCAAATGGCTTAAACTATAGTTAATACAGGGGATTTCTTTGGGGGAAAAAGCAAAATTATAGTGTAGTCCACACCTGGGTGTCTGTTATTGTCAGCTGGTAAAGCCATTTCACAATTAAGAAATTGATGCATTGGAAAAGTGCGCTGTCATATGTTTCATTTCTTACCTTCACCAAAAATATAAAGTATTTATCCACAATAAAATGGCCAAAATAAATCAATTATTTAATAATCAATTGTGCCTTTAAAACCTTGTCAAAGATATTGATAATGATAATAATGATATTGGGCCAGCTGAGAGAAGCCAGCTTCTTTAACTTTTTTCCTTTTTTGTAAAACAGATATGACTGTTGTCATGGCAGTGTTCAATAGGTGGCACTCTCTGGCAAGAAAAGCCTCAAATAGGATGCACTTACCCCTAACCTTTGCCTTATTTTTATTCACAATACAACAAATGAAAAACTGACAATACAATATTTTTTTCTCGGATAAAACAGAATTAAAAATGCAGTACAACACCAAGCCTATATATCTTTTAATAAGTGTCCAAGTAAATGCAGTTTGTTGTTAATATCTAAAATGTTACACTGCATTTTTGCAACACAAAGTGGTCACAACTCTTTGAAGAGAAGTAATTGGCAGCCAACAGCATATTTCTTATTTGAATCTTGTTGCTGTGTGCCTGGCAACTATTAAAATACCAATGGACAGTTCCATATCAACCTTTTTTTCGGGTTCTATCTCCAAATGTTAAACATAGCCATGACTCGTAACATTATGTCACCACAGTACTTGTACTAGCATTTGGCGTTTCTGCTGTGATGACCGCCAAACTCGTGTGATCCTTCTTCGGCGTCCGAGGACCCGCCCTGCAACACACGCACTTCTCAAAATGGAATAGATGACCGCGAATTTTTCTCGAGTACAGGGCATAAAACACTCCTCCACAGCAAACGAAGCTGAAGGACAAAATAATCAAGATGGCAAAAGTATCTGGGCGAGGAGCGACAATCACCAGTAAAAATTTCACCATGTCCAGCAACATGTTCAGTGAGCTCTGGACACCGTTGACTACGCCGCGCTCCTGTTCCGCGACGTTCTCTTGGATCAGCTGTGTCACGGACAGGTCAGCCATCCAGAGGCCTGGAGAGAAACAAGTTGTATTGGTGAAAAATTTTAGAAAACAATCCTCCACATGGCACCTGCAAATTTAAGCTGCAGTAGAACTTAGTCTTACTTTTATTTTTAATGCATTTCACTCAGAATATTTCTGTTTGTTTTAAGCAACTTGAAATAACCTACCCGTCAAAACATTTACTAAATGTGACACTTTACATCTCCTTAAGAAATTTTTCTGTATGGGATTCTGTAGCAGCAAAGATTCTTTCTCACACACGTGTACTCACCAAACCTGCCAGTGATGATCCCAGCTATGAAGAGAGAGACAGATATTAGAGAACCTTTGACTTCAGTCTTACAAGTGTGGGTGGCGTTGTCAAATGTTCCTGCCTCGTTGCTGGCATTTGAAAAGTTATAAGAGGCATCAAAAGGAAGAGCCAGCACGGAGGGTGGCGAGTCATCCACAGACCCCTCGGGGGTGGTTGCTAGAGATACATTATTAGCTTGTCTTTTTACAATAACATGACTGTTTCCATGGACACTAACATCTTGGTTGTCATGGAAACTGATTATATTCTCCATTCTGATTGGCTGAAGCATCCCAGCTGTAGAAAAGTCATCATTTATGAAGTATGAGTATTGATGTTGGGAATCAAAGGGAACTGAGCGACGTCGTCGTCGTCCAAAATCTGTATTGTTTTCTGGTGAAGTTGGTAATACCGGAACAATGCCACTCACAACAATAGGGGGCAGCACTGTGGCATTACCCTGAGGTGGCTTCAGCTCGCACGTCGTTATTGTATACTTTTGGGATGTGTCGTGATAGCCAATAAATGGACTGCCAGGGGTCCAAATGGAGACTACGCACAGCGTCAGGCAAGAGATTTCCAGGCTGAACCCAAACAGGCCCGTGCGCTCAACTCCAATCCGTTTGCGAAGGAAGGTAAATCCCACAGTTCCCAGGATTCCCATCAAGGAGCCAATCGCCATGCAGATTCCCAGAATGGACTCAGTGTAACCTTGTGAGAAGGCATAACCTGGAGTACAGGGAAAATTACTGAGACAGCATAAAAAATTCCGCACTGAAAGATGCTTATCATAGTCGATATTATTAAAAGCTTTGATTTTGATAGTGCCATTCATAAAATATTGAAAAATTTTTAAAACTTGTTTAAGGTATCATTCCTTGCAAATTGTGGTAAAATTTCAATTAATGAATGACACTGAAAAAAAAAAAGTTAGCAGATACTGCTAATAAATTTAAAATGTGAAAAGAGTGACAGAATTGGTCCAAAAATGGCAATATTGTCCCAATGAAGACCTTGTCACTTACAAGTGAAATTAATACACCCTTCCCCCAAAATAAGTCAAACCCTAGCAGTCGTGTGACAGTCATGTGACACATACCCACGGTAACGTTATCAAAGCCCAGGACAGTCATGTAGAGAAATGCCAACCCGAGTCCTGCTAACATCACAGACTGTCTCATGTAGATGCCCCAGCCAGTGAAGAGAACGATGAACTTGGAGAACATCAACTGGAAACAACTCTTGTCCAGTTCCTCGTCTGCAGCTGTGGTGGCCGAGTACGGGGACTTGTACTCCTCCTGGAATTATAATTATTATATTCATGATTTCATTTTGGTACTAAATAAATACATTTTTATGGCAATTCAAATTATACAATTATTTACGTATGCATAAGGTTAGAGGGTGGGATTTTACCAGAATTGTAGCAAGCAGTATTTTTGTTTTGTTTTTGTTGTTTTTTTTCTGTTCTCAGAAGGGAGACTGGCAAATTTCACATTTAACAATAAAAGTTACAAATGGTAAATAAGAAAATCAGTTATTTAATTTCCCTATGTTTGCTTATACCTTAGTGAGGAAGGAAGAAAATGTTGAAATTTTCTACCAAACAATTTTTTTGCTACATGCTGCAATTTTTCTCTTTGGTTTTGGACTTTGATGATAAATTGTTCAGCTTTCAAGAAAAGTATTTTTTCTTTTATCATGATTTTTCTTGCCTTGTAAAGGTCTTTTGCTTCTTATACCCCTACAAACAGTGTCAGAATGGCGTTTTAATGTCAACCCACCTCATCAGCCATCTCCACCTTCTCCTGGTCTTCACTCTTCTCCACTTTAGGCAGCATTTTCTCCTCTGTGGCCTCCTCCTCTGACTTATTCAGCTCATTATCTGTCTCTAACTCCCCAGCAAGGTCTGGCTCCATCTCTGTGGGCTTTTCTGGTGCTGAAATTAGGAATGTTTTAAATTCCACATTAAAGAAAACACATTTTAAAGATGAACAGCATAAGCAGAGCTCAATCAATGGTGAGCAGTAGCCAATTGATTTGATTGCCAAGGACCTGATCCTGATGAAAATTTCATAAAATATGTTCTCTTTCAAGAGCATATTTTCTTATAACTTCTATGGCAATAAAATATCTGTCATGAATTATTATTCAAATTATTTACAAGTTTTCCTCCAGTAATAAGTCCTAGCAATTTTACTATCTCCACAACTTACATCTTCAGTCCCAGTAAAATCTTAACAACTATTCAACTTGAAGTTAAATATCTATCTGGAACTACATTTACATCACATCAGTGACAAATGGAAGAAAAATGTTAAATAGGGAGAATTGAAATTCAGGGGAGATTTGAAAAAAAAGAGAGGAATGAGGAAAGAAAGAAAGAAAGAAAGAAAGTGGCAGCAGATAAAGCATTCTCCTACTGGTGAGTTTGTTCTCCACAGCCTCTGGTTCTCCTTTTACTCTCTTCACGGCCAGCTCTGGTACCTTTCTGTACACACTGTACAGCAGCCCGTACTCCAGGAACATGGACACCACATTCCAACATGCGATAAAAATAGCGCCAACGACGTGTGCAGGCAGCGTGCCAGTCTCGGAGTATGTCATTATCTGACCCACCGCTGCTGGAGCCAAGATGGCGGTCGTTAGGTCGATTCTTCTCACTGTGGCATTGAGACCTGAAGTAGTAAAGATGGGATGCGTCAGGTGAAATATTCATTTCATTCACAGTAGGTGTTGTTCTTTTTAAACAGCAACTTGTTAGGGGCATATCCCTTACGAAAATTTCCTATAGGATCCTATAGGAAATCTTATAGGATCCCATAGGGCACATTTCCTATAGGATTTCCTATAGGATCCTATAGGAATTCCTATAATTATCAGAACTAATTAATAGACTTACTTGCCAGCTTGCCCTTGTTACCCTGACACATAACAACTACCCAGTCTCTCTCTACACAGATCTTATTATCAGAACTAATTAATAGACTTACTTGCCAGCTTGCCCTTGTTACCCTGACACATAACAACTACCCAGTCTCTCTCTACACAGATCTTATTATCAGAACTAATTAATAGACTTACTTGCCAGCTTGCCCTCGTTACCCTGACACATAACAACTACCCAGTCTCTCTCTACACAGATCTAATTATCAGAACTAATTAATAGACTTACTTGCCAGCTTGCCCTTGTTACCCTGACACATGACAACTACCCAGTCTCTCTCCACACAGATCTTGGTGGCTACGCTGGCCAGCGCTGCAATGTCCGCTATGACGATGACCAGAATGGCAAACAGAGTGAACAGTCCGCCCTCCCATGTCTTCATGATGTGAGACCTGGTAGAAATAACAAGGCAGGAAAGCTGTCAAATGTACAGAAAAATAGCAGAAAATAATGATGCACAAAATAGGCTACTGTCGATTCTGATGCAGAAATAAAATAAAATCTCTGTAAATTAAGACAAGCTGGAAACTGCTGATTGAAAATAATAATTGATAAAATAAAATATTACTGGACCTTGGTAAAATAAATCATTTCTAAAGTGATTTAATGTGATGATTTTGTCTTTCAAATGAAAGGTGTATAAAGTTCATGCACTGTAGCTAAAAATGGGTGCAAGTCTTAAGGAATAAAATACCCTTTTTACCATCTTTACACAAAAGATAATGAGAAACCTAATGAAAAATAAGATTAATAAATTAAGGGGTACATAAAGCAAAATTGATATCTGTACAAAACAATGTTTCATTCACCTGCTGTCAATAAAATCATAATCAATGAAGTCTAGAAGGTTGCAGTTTCTTAAAGTTTGCCATTTCCAGACAAATGTATGATATCACACAGTTACTCACAAAATTTGAAAGTTATAACAAAATTACACATATTTGTGTATTTCACAGGGATAATTTTTAAATAGATGTTGCTGAGGTTAGTGTTTACGTGCCATATTCAGTTTCTATAATCTCCAGTATGCCAGAGGCCCTGTCCATGCTAAACAATGTCATTTCTGCCCTGGGGATTTCTTTTTTATTCAAATCAAGAAATCCCATCACATGATTTAAGATTTTGGTTTTATGCATAAATCAATGAACTAGTTAGAATCCTTTTACTTGGCATTCGTAGTTACCCACTATCAAAACAATGCAAAATGTACGCTGTTCAAAATTATGTGCAGAGTGCATAAACTCTGATTTTCCTTATTGAAGGTCTGCAATATCAATCATAGCAATGCCAATGGATTGTTGTATTGTCACTTCTTAAGTCTTTTATAAGATCAGTTTTTCTTCAAATGTGCTTTGACACTACTGAATGCGAAGTTTCACTCCTGCCTGTTTAAAATTCTTTATGTAAACGTATAATCTTCACTGGAAGCCCCTTAAACACCAGTTTTTCTACAAATGATCATGGCAGATAAAATACTTACTCTAATGTGAACATGATACATAGTAAGATGGCAGATAAAATAACGGCAGTGTTTTGGATGAAGAGGGAGATGCGCACAGCTGAAACATAAAACAGAGCTAATGTTCACAATGGGAAGAAATAAAGAAAGTTGAAATAAATAATAAACAACTTTGCAAACTATAAATAAATGGTGTTTAATACCCTGAATAAAAAGAAACAATTTCTATAAAGACAGAGAGTGATATCACATCATAATATGAAATTATAAAATAAAAAGCCAACTAACTCAAACTGAAAATTGTTTATGCAAAGTTGCCAGACAAGCAAACAAGGGGCACAAAAGTAAGAGGTTTTGTCGGTCTACAAATCTCTTCATCAAGGGCCTGCTTACAAAGAAAAAACTTCATCCCGAAAACTGATCTTAACTTTTAGACCAAATATTGAAGTCTACCCCAATGAAAAATTGCACCTATTTACAAAAAACATTCAATTTGGTAATGTTTTAGGACAATTCTCCAAATTTCCAGTCAACCTCAATACAGGATACAGGGTTGGATCCAGGACAATTGGAAAGGGGGGGGGGGTCTGCAGATGCGAAGACAACCTTGGTAATTAAGTTCTTAGCCAGAAAACCTGACTTTAGTTTTGTAAAACTGGGGCTATGTGTTAACCTCTGAGCCTCATATTCCTGTCTATCCAGTCTCCAATAACAGCTCCAAACAGAAGAATAGATCCTCCTCGTGTAAATCCATACACTGCCACCAGGCGGAGATCCTCTGAAAGCTGGACCAAGAAAAGACCGACTGCAAAACTCCACATGCGATCTCCCTGAAGATGAAAGAGATGAGGTCTTTTATACAATGTATGCACTGAGCAGAATGATTTTATGGATTAAATTATTCTTATAAAAAATTCTACCATCAAATACAATTTGTCTGTCATATATAGTTTACTGTATAGGATTTATTCAAGAAAATTCAAGAAATGGAGGAGAAAAAACTTGGAGCAGAAAATTGTTACATTTATGTTAACTTTCATGATTATCACATTTCATTTTTTAAAACTTCAAAGTTAATATAGTGACTGACAAGATGAAATCACCCTTTCTAAATTTAATTAGGAGTCTTGGGCCAATGTTTGGCTTGAGTTAACACGAGATTTCAAATGATTGTTCATGTCATTACTATGATAATCATAAAAGATTATAACAGTGCTAGGGAAAACTGCTACTAAACAGCATACATCTGCAAGAGACTTAGAGTTAAATTAAATTTACAAAGTAAGTTTTTCTTGTGAATCAAATACAATACTGTTTCATCAGACAGCAGAAATAGGATCTTACCCACGCTGACAGTGTGTGACTAAAGTATACCATGAAAGCTGGACTCTTCAGCCATTCCTTGAAACGACCTAAAAGACACCAAGGGCAAAGTTTACAATGATGATAATGGTAAAGATAATGAAATATACAATGGGACACTGTACGTTGCAATACCACTTGTAGAGTGCTGTAGAATGACAAAATATTTAATAGTAGCTAAAGCTACTGAAAATGTGATACTACATACGGAATAAAACTAAAGAAAAATTTTCTATTCTTGAGTTTTGACACAATATTTGAAGATATTATTTTATGCAAAAACAACTAAAAGTTTAGCAAATAACTCTTGTTAAAAGAAGGTATGTTCCAAAACTCCCATGAAATGAACTGTGAATTTTCAATTTTAGGAAAAGAAAGTTAAATGTCAAAATCATGTTCATCAATAGACTTGTGAAGATTCTTTTGATTGATGGTAAGATGAGACATATAAGTAGCTATGGACAAAATAATCTTCACAAGTCTATTACAATAACATACCTAATGAAACTGTTCAACACTATGTTCATCAAGATATTCTCTTTATGCATACTAATGAGTATTGTAACACACGGGCTGCTAAACAACAACTGCACACCAACTGTTTGGTGCACTGAACCAACTGTATACATCACGCAAGCCTATTTTATCTGACACAATCTGAAAATAATCAATGAAATATTGTTGTCCCTGACCAGGGAGGGAGATTCTTGCTTAGTACTTACTGCATCTGCTTTGACCGTCGCCTGCCATTGTCTGTGATCAAAACAAGCCGACTGTCGCTTTTTCGAACCCTGGATTTTTTCTTCCTTTAACTTGATGGTGTCGTTTTTCGATCTTGCAACAATTGGTGTTTATCTTACGTCACTTCCACCACGAGACACAGACAGCATTATTCTCAATACAACTGTTCTAGGAAACAAAATACAGGCTGTTACATCAAGTGAACGTTCTAAGATAAATTAAACGAAGCGCTGACATGGAAGCTCTCAGTTTCCTTTTCCAAACAACCCCCGTCTATGACATCGGCTGTTTATTATCAAATTATCTCAATTCACACTGCACCTATCGGTAGATATCCAAGATGAAATACAGTTACCGCATGTTTGCATGCAGTCCGACCTCTACCTTACAGCCAGAAAGATAAGAAGCTCCAATCTTTTGATTAATATTCCGTGGGCGGCAAACGTAAATCTCCTCGTGACCTTCACCCGTCAATCGTTTCTGTACTCCAAAGCTAAAGAGCATCCAGGTAAATGTTGTTACAAAATGGTAATGTTTTTATTGTATTGTTCAAATTATTTTGTTTTACATCCAGATTATTTGCTTCTGAATATTCTACATTGTCTGACAGATTTATATCATTTCCAACTAAAAACAGTGTAGCGATTCTCCTGCCCTCTATCGAATATTTGCCTCTGAGTCACGACGCCATCTTACTTCCTGAAAGTCCACCCATTTCTTGAATTTTGACTGGGGTCTTAATACGTCTACCAGAAGGATGATTTTACTGGAGATCAATAATAGGGTCGTGGAAGAAACGTTGACACTCAAATTCAAGAATGCACTAAGCGGGTATGTTCTTGTAAAAATATTTTAAAAAGTTGCCGGTTCCCTGTCCAGATTTATTGACCGCCGGCCGATTGAGTCGATGCAGACAGCTCAGTTTAGGTGTAATTCATTGTCGAGTTTTTTTTTTAGTTCTTAGTTTTGTGACATATACCTGCTCTTGAATTCAAATACGTTATTCCCATGCAGTTGTATTGATTAAATAGTCAGTCATAACTTCCTGATTAGTCTATCCAGTTCAGCAGGCGGCACGTTACTGCCGTGCGATATGACGGGCATTTAACGCGAAATTCATGCGTCAGCACTCCTTTTGACGATTTTGCTATGTACACTGTGCTAAGGCATGTTAGCAAAGCCCTCAAAAGTGTAAAACCAAAACCAGTTTTTGAATGCAACGTGGTGAGGAGCTCACTAATTCTTATCTTGCTTCTCATCTCCATCCTCAGCTGTCACTTTGATCATTTGTTGAATTTAAAAACCACCTAGTCCACCAAATGCAATAAAAAAGATCAAAATCAGTTGTATCTCTTAAATATTTATTATAGACAGCTTCTAAAACAAAAAATAACCGCCATAGCCTTAGAAGTTCAAAAGAAAATAAAAACAGGCAAAAGTTGCACTCAAACTTATTCCACTAAATGCCATAGGTTACATCTTCTGTAAATCCCACTTGCTCGCAAATAATCAATAGGAGTACTCATGCATGAATTTGGTGATAGCAAGCATTCAGTGATTCACTTTCAGAACATAGCTGTGTTTCACAAGAGCTCATAATTATGAATAACCTATGCAAAGACTGCTGAGGATCTTTGCCAACTGAGGATGGTTTTACAAAGACATAAAAATTCTGCTTTTTTTTTTTTTTTATTCTGAAATGAATTCTGAGTTTCCAGCCCAAATTGCATAGTTGACTTTACAAAGTTAGCTACTCAAGTTTAGCAGTCTAGGCTTAGTCCAGAAACTTGAATTCCCTTGCCAAACAAACCTATTTCATATACTTCATGTCAATATTTGACCAGATTTTCTGCTATATAAAGGGATAATAACTGTTCGTATGAGATTCATATTTCATAATACACATATTGTAAACAACTTTACTTGCTTGTCATTATCACACTGGAAAATATGGAACGTTGTTTATCCAAGGAAAATGTGTTTTTTGGTCATACGAACAGTTGTTTTCCCTTCAATGTACAGCAGTTAATTGTTAACTTTTTGATAAAAAGGTTTTAGAAAAATTGCCATTGATGGTTACTTTAACGATGGCATTGACTCTTTCACTTTCTGTACTCTGAAATGATGCATCCTTTAACAGTTTGAAAGTATATAGTGAACTTAGTGTCTTACTGAACCTAGAGGTTTGGTGAAATAAAGCTTGCTTCAGATTTCTGTTAATGCCTTAAATGTTTAAGATGTTTTGAAGTTCATCTTTCTTCTTGTCTGATAAAAATGAATAGTCGAACTGTACTATTCTTTATCCACAGAAACCCACAGCATGTAAAGGGTATTTGAGATCATTTCTTGAACCCAGATTTATATAATGTCAATATTTGAAGCAAGCTACATTTATATTCTTCTGAAAAATATATATTTTACTTTTACTCTCTCAATATTTTAGTTAATCATTCTATCAGTATTTATACAAGTGCATAGTTTTAAAGCATAACCAGAGGGGTAAAAACATCTTTAGTATTATTCTATTATTGTTGCAGTCTCTACTCCCAAAACAGTACAAATGATAAGAAAAGGTATTTATGTGTTGTAGTGTGTTGATGTGATGCCATTTTGTGATTGCTGGGGTTTTTAGTGCACTTCTACCATCACCATCACCCTGAGTGTCATTGTTTGCTTTTTTTTTTTTTTTTTTTTTAACAGATCATCAGTTTTTGATGTTCATTTTACTGAAATAAGGCAGTTGATTAAGGTGACCAACAAAAATCTTTTGAAGCAGAAAAAATTTAAAAGATAAAATTGACACAAAGAAACTGAATTAAATTGCCACAAAAAATTTGACTTACTCAGGGCATAACTTTTAACTCCAAAATTGTTTGTAAAAATTTAATCCATTATTTAATTGGTTGTTTGTTTTATAGTCATCATAGTCATCAGAGAATTTGTAAATTGTTAGCAAGATATAAACTAGGTTTAAAGTAAAGTCTTATTTTAGAGTTGTGTGAGATTCAGGGTGATAAGTTGCCTGTGTATTATGCATGTAGCTGACCTCTCT